TGTGCAGCTGTGCTGAGAGAGGTGCCCTGCAGATCAAAGGGAACCCGCTCCCGTTCTCCCCAGGTGCGGCAGTGCTTCCCCTGTTAGAGCAGGTATTGCTTATCAGGCAGCAGTGCTATGAACAGCACAAAAGTGCACTTTGCTCTCCAGAGGTTATGGCAGCCAGAAGGATGCCAGATTAGATTTAGGAAAGCACATATGGATGTATTGCCTTCTTCAGCCTTGCACCATTCCTTAAAATCCTCCGTTGCTCTGGAGGAAGACAGAAAGCATGGCTGTGGACAATCACAGCTGTAGAAGCATAATTGCAATTGCTGTCTCAGAGCTGCTTAGTGCTTCTGATAATCCTTGGGACCCGCAGTGAGTCACTACATGATGAAGGGAGAGCATTTTGGGGCAGGGGTACAGCACAGGAACAACTCCATAGAAGTATTAAAAAAAACTACCTCCAGTTTACATTTCACTGAGGGGAAAGGTGCTCTGAGGCAGCACCAGCACAAGTTCAGACTGAAGCCCAGACTTCCCACTTTGGGATTCCAGGTGTTTGGAGAGTGTCTCTGACACCGAGTTCTATACCATGTCTTCCCCTGAAGGCTGAGATGCCACCATAGCTCATCTCTCAACCCAGTCACTGGCCAGAACTACAGCTCCAGTCCACTGACAGTGAATCCCACCAGTTCACCTCACGTGTTCACAGGGGTGTTTAGCTTCTGGGGAGGTAAACAGGAAGGTGACAGGAGTGAAGTCTCATTTCAGTGTTGGGATCTCCTCCTTTCTTTCAGTGTTTCAGCAAAACCTCCCTCTAAGCCCCATACACTGCATAACAGATGGCACATCTGCATCTATTTCCAGGGTGATCTCACTAATCACTTTTTAAGAATCCAGCATCCAGGGTTAATCAACACGAGCTGAATTACAGCAAAGGTTCCTACAGCAGTGGAAAAATCCTGTGCAACTCCCTTTCCTCAAGTTATCCTCTTGGATAGTGGGGTTTATCCTCTGCCTAAATTCTGCCCAATCCTCATGATCCCTGCAAAGCCAAGGCCTCTTTCCAAAAAGCTTCTGCCTCTCTGGGCCTTTGTCTGTTTGACAAGGCAGATCTTCAATAGTTGATTTTCTGTTTGGCAATCAAACTAAAGGCTAAAAAAGCATGATACAGGCCAACCCCAAAACCCTCACGGGAATGGGAAGGGAGATTCCCAAGGAAACTTTGTCCTCAGCCACAAGGCCTATGAAGGGAAGCTATCACCCACTGCAATCCACTGCCTACAACACAGCCTCAGAGCACACAGAATACAAGTTCAAATCCCTTCTGTTTCTCATGTGAAAAATATTTTTAAAAGGTTTCCTGGAAGCAATATCACACCCAGTGTGCCAGGCAGCACCGGAGGCACATGGAGATGCAGCACAAAGAGGCAGGAGACTGGCTGTGCCCTGCTGTGCCCACACTGCTCAGCACAAAGGCCAGGGCAGAGTGGCACCCCTGGGCTCGCAGGCACCGTGCCTAGAGCTTGCTTCCCAAGGAGAACATTTACCTTGGCAACTGCTACTTGGAGTGATCCACACCAAAGGCTCAGAGTTAGCAGAGAGCCCAGCAGACAATGAGCACAAATCCAGGGCTGGAGTCCATCTGTTCTTTGCTGGTGATGTAGCTATAGCTGTCAGATGTGCCTACAATGTCAGACACAGCTCCCCAGCTGACTCTGGGTCCTCATCCTTGACTGTTCCCATGGTGTTGGTCAGCACACACCTATGCTGTCCTCTGGACTGGGACAAGCAGCTCCCTCCAGCCACCAGGCAGCGCTTCTCTGGGCATGAACACTCCTGGAACAACTTGCAAGAGCCACACGAACAAGCTGTGTCTCATTTCCCTCAGGATGTTCCTCCAGCACGGTCCCACCAGCCTTTCCATCCTCCAGCTCTCCTGAATGCTCTCATGCCTCAATCCAGACGATGCTACACCACACCCTCTGGAATTCAGCACTGGTGAGCTATAGCATCATCTTCTGGGCATTTTATGCTGGGATAAAAAACCACCAAACTTACAACAATACTTTGGTTTGCTCTTAGGTCCATAAGCCCAACACACAGGGCCAAGCTAAGCTGGAGTCAAGTGCCATGCTATGCTGTCAAATTCAGTCTCTTTTTTGTTGGCTGGCCCTGAGCAGCCAATGCTACTCTGAAACAACTGCTCTTGTCCACTAGCTACCAGATCCCAGGCCTGCCCTTTGGGGCAGGCAGTTTAGTCCCACTGGTGTTCCTGCTCTATCTGGTCCAATAAACAGAGTAAATAATTCTGCCCTGAGCAAGAGGATTAGGAGAGCCCCTTTGCAGACTGTCCTGTGGTTTGGCCACACTCTGAAGACACAGCGTGTTGGGTAAATCCTTGCTCCAGCTGAGGTTTCCTTTTGAGATCATCTTCAAAAAACAAGTAAAAGGAACCTCAAACCAACAAAGCAAGCCATTTTTATGTTTCTAATTTTTGGGGCTAATTCTGATGAATGGTTGCACACCAATTGGCAGATAGCTTCAGTCAACCAGAAGCTGTGCTTTTCAGTGAGTAAGCTGTTCTTCAGACATCATTGGCTCTACTTGTGCCCCCTTCCCACTGCCACAGGAGAGGGAAGGGATACTGCAGGTACTGCTTCATGTATGATCCTTGCTGCCCTGGCTCCAATGTAGCCGCCAGATGGTCTCACCCTCTGCCTGCTCTTCTGTTGGGAGACATCAAGGACCTTCAGCAGTTACCATCTCTCACCCTGGGCAGCTTCTTCCTCAGCTGCACCTCTCCCACTGCTGTCAGAATGGCCATGGCCAGTCTGTCAAGACTTGCTCACTTGCTCAACTTCCGTATTGAGCATTTTTAGCTACTATCATTGGTGTTTCTATGTCCTCCTTTCAGGACACACATCTTTATGTGTCCATCAGGTTATGCCATCTGCTCTCTGTTAGAATGTAAACACCTTCTTAGGGACAGGTACATGCACAACAGTGGTAATGTTTGTTACCAGCACATGGCAGTGGGCTCCACAGTGGCGTAGCTGACAATGGCCACAAGCCATTGTCACAGCATCATAGAATGGCTTGAGCTGGAAGGGACCTTAAAGATCGTCTAGTTCCAACCTTCCATCACGGGCATGGCCACCAGGTCAGGCTGCTCATAGACCTGGGTGTCCTCTGAGGACAAACCACTTGGCCCTGATCTTTTGCCACCTCCATCACCATATGCACCAGCATCTCCCAGAGCCCACTGGACAGGCTGGTTTAAGGGTGGCTGGGGTGCTTGTAGGGTGAGCACAGCCAGTGGGGGTGACAGCCACGTGTTTGTGGGGGTGCTTCTTTTAAAGCTGATTTATTTTAGCAGGATTTTTACAGAGTGTATCTGGCAGTGGTGGCCAGCAGACATGGCAGTGTCCAGGCTCTGGTTAGAGACTGACAAGGAAACTCTGGGGCTGGCAACAGGCTCCTGGAACCCTTTGGGGACCGCCTGGTTAACCCTGCTTTGGCTGACCTTGCTGAAGTAGAGGACTTGGCCTAGGTGATCTCCAGAGGTGCTTTTCAACCTCAGCCTTTCACTGAGACTTATTTAAACCTCTGTCATAAAGCACAGATTGGATATTCAGGCGTATATATTCAAGTATTCCATAAATTCTTGACTCAATACAGGAAATTTGGCTTTCAAGTCCAACAGCACATTGAACCTTTACCAGGCTGTGAGGCCAGAGTTTCATGAGAGTTTTAACAACCTAACAAACCAGGGAAGTACAAAACATGCCATGCAAGTCAGATGTTTCTATGCAACAACCATATGATCTGAAGTTTCTCAAACAAAACCATTTGCTGTCAAGACAGAGTGGAGCCAAATCAGTGCGATTCAAGGTTTTAGAGTCAATTTTGTAAAATGTCAGAAGGAGTTACTTAGTGCCACCCAGTGTTGGCAGCTAGAAAAAGGAAGGTTAAATATGGTTACAACTGGGTGTAGCCCAGTGAAACAGGAAAAAAACCCAGCTCTTGCTTTCTGTATCAGGGTGAGTAATGTCACAGAAGCTGGATAGCACCAGCATTCAGGGATAGGTGTCCCAGAGCTGAAATGAAGTTTAGCCATCTTGTTTAAAAAAAAACCCAAACCCCTCTACTTTTTCTATTCACTTTTCAAAGCAGGTAATCAGTTTGAGATGCAGATGGTCTCTTGTCACAAGACTCACTCCCCTAGTCTGACATCTGTCTAGTGAGAAAGCTGCACTGACTTTTCTGGTCAGATGTTCAGGAATTTAGATGACACGCAACAGTATAAATTGTGTCTCTTTCCTAGAATAAATAGAATACAGTTACACACGACTCTTTTCCCCCTTCCTGCCTTTGTCTCAGGTGCTGCATATGACTTGTCTTTTCTTTGAAGCCTTTAAAATCACACAGGATCTCATATATATCAGGCATAGAAATATTCTCCCAGTTACCATCTTTGGATGGCTGAACAATTGCATGTCTGCTTTTACCCTTCCATGGACTGTAGAAAATCACAGAATGGTTTGGGTTGGGAGGACCTTTAAAGACCATCCAGTTCCAATTCTCCTGCCATGAGCAGGGTCAACCTCCACTGGACCAGATTGCTCCAAGCCCCATCCAACCTGGCCTGGAACACTTCCATATAAAGTTAGAGTGTCATGGTCCCGTTAACAGATGTGGAAAGTGAGATGTGAGCAGGCATTCCCATCCTCATCACAGCCCCATCCCAGGAGAGCTGGGGCCTGGCCAAGATGGGATGGAGGAGATCTGGAGCCAAGAATCCAAGTGGGAAAGAAAGTAAGGAGAAAGCAAGGCCTGAAGATGCCTCAAAACCACCAGTTGCTGGCAGAGTGAGGGCATCCCAGGGTTGTGCCTTCACCTGTAGAGGCACAGAAACCCTCCTTCCTTCTACCATTTTGGGCTCATTCACTCTGCTCTGAAGTATTCTCACTGCCCAGAGAGAAAATCAAGACAACAGAGGTTTGAGTGGTTCTCTGCTGGTTCTTTATTTCACCCCCAGAAGATGAGGGCCAAGGGGAGACTGACACAGGAGTTTATCTCAGATTGATACAACAAAAAAGCAATAGTGAAGTGAAGGGTGGCTGCCGTCTGAAACAACCTCACTTCAATGAGCTGCCATGCTTCTGGGTGTGAGGACAGGCATTTTTACCTTTTCCTCCTACTCATGGAGCCTTCTATCTCCCAGTCAGACAGCCTATCCCTTGGATTTGTGCTTGCTGACAACAAGTCTCCTTTCTCACTTACCTTTCACTGACCTCTGGGAAACAGGCCAGGCAGTATGGCCACAGGTCACGAGCCAAAAACTCCTCATCCGGGGCCAGCACACTTAGGGTGGTTTATTTCTTTTCTCACCAGTCCCATGAGGCTCCTGGAGGAGCTGGGTCCTGGGCTAGCTCTGCTGCTTTTGTTGGAAGACCTGCACAATCACTAATCGCATTTGCATTTCTCACTAGGGCCCTACACATCCTAAGTGCTCTCCATGCTCTCCACAGCCATGAGAATCTCAGTCTTCCACAGAGCTCACAGTCTAAAACCCAAGGTGGGAAATCACTAACTCCTGTGATGGCTGCTCAGTCTTTGCCTCAGGAATTCATCAAAAAGAGAATTTTCTCCAAGAGGGCCACAGGACACAGTGTGCACACAAAAAGAAGTTGGTAGAGGAAGGAGACCAGACAAATACATCATTCTTGGGAAAAAAAAAAAAAAAAGAAAGAATGAAAAAGAGTATCTGTGTGTGTCCCTTCAGTTAGGAAGGTTTACAAAGTAGCTTCACAATGGGAAACAGTGCCTGCTCCTGAGGTTTTACAGTCCCAGCAATCAGAATGAAATAGCAGGAAGGGGAAAGGCAGAAGCAGGAGACCTGTGATTCCCTGCCTTCCACGGAGCAACTGTGCTCAGTTTGCAGGTCCAAGGCATTTTTAAGCCTATAAATAAACCGGGGACGTTAATGAAGGCATTAATCTCGGCTGGCCGCCGTCCCAGCTATTTTCAGAGCGAGTTACCTTGCCTGTCCCGGCAGAAGTAGGTCTCGAGGGGAGGGTCGGCGAGCCGCAGGACGGATGCCGAGTGCCCGGGGCCACCGCCCTGGCCGCAGGACACCGCCACCGTCCTTGGCAGCGCACCAGGAGGAGGTGTCCCGAGCGCCAGCCCTCCTGGCTCCCGGCCTGCAGGGAAACACACCAAAACAGACGTCAGATAATAAACAACGAGAGAGGCAGAGCGCTGCCGGCTGCAGAGGGAGGCTGGTGGGTGCTCCTGTCTGCAGCCAGTGCCTTCTTCATCTCCTACAAGGAGATACCCCCGCTGGAGACCCTCTGCTCCCTCACCTCTGCCTTTCCAAGGACAGCAAGCGGCAGAGCTCGGAGCTACAGAGAAGGGGGCATGGGAAGGGCAGGCCAGGGCATCCCAGCACACTGATCTAGGGCAGGGTACAGGTCCCTGCAGGGAACAAGGTCTGCCCCGAGACAGCTTGCTGCCCCTCAGCAACAGTCAGTGCTTCCCTCGCAGGCAGAGGGGGAGAAGAGCTCCCTCTCTTTTTCACCTCTCGGGGGTCTCTGTGGTCAAGATGACCCTGAGATGTGTTAGAGAGTCTCTTTTCCCAGCCTGGCAGCGGAAGGAGTCGGGATTCTTCTGTTCTGGTTTTCAAGGTTGTGTATTCTTTGTTATCTATGACATTCCTTTTCTGACCTGCTGAGGTCTGTCTAGCAGGTTGGTCCAAGGCACACTGACTACCTTCAGGGGCAGTGTTATCTTTTTATACTAAAAAATACATTTATGTTATTTACAATAATTTCTCAATACCTACCACCCATGTTAGACAGTGTGTTTCTACTCTAAACCAATCCAAAAGTGCCAACATCACCCAGAAGATGGAGGCTAAGAAGAAGGACAAGGCATGCCCAAATCCCTCCATCTTGGCTTCTGAACCCCCATTCTAAAAACTCAAAATTCTACTTTTCTATCTTGTAACAAACTATCATTCTACTTAAGGTTTGTGGCTTGTGAATCCTCATATAATGTTGGTAATTGTTTTTTCCAAGGGCTAAAATTGAAGGCACAGGTGTTTTTGATTCTGTGCCAAGGTCCCTGAGCCCTCTGTCAGGGTCTCAAGTCCTCCAGGGCAGCCAGAGGAATTTCCTGGGTTCCAACATCCACCCAGGAAGAGCAGGAATGTCATGCACTTGGATGGTAAAAGCTGCTTTTTCTCCTTCCTGCCGTGAGGAAAGAAGCCCCAGGACAGCATCTGTATGGGAAAAGAGCAGCCCAGTGTTTGCCCTCAGTGCTTACCTAGCACCCAGAGCTGGTTTGCCTGTGGGCAGTGGAGCCCTGAGGTTCATCTCACAAAGTACTTACAAATGTTTGCCTCATCTTACAAAGTATACCATGCTTTTGTTTATTTTACTATTTCTTTCACAATATGCCAGGAAAAAATTTATTCCTAGCAGTAAATGAGGAAATAGGTGCCTTTGAAAACCACATCTACACATTGCTTTCCTTTGACCTGCCCCCTCAGGTATGGTCAGATGCCACCACACAGAGTTAGAGAAATGAATGTTCCTGTACCACCAGAAAACAACACTGGCCATAATTTTCTTTTCTATTCTACAATAAGCTCAAGATGTTGAGACATTTGCCAAATAATATTACAAAAGAATTGTTCACGTGCTGGTCCCAGGTGACATTTGGCTACTGTAACTATTAGGACTCATTCTCCCAAAGCATTCAGTAGCACAGGACTTTTTCCCCAATCTTCTCAGAAAATACACACTGTTTTCTGTTCTTTGTGTTGCTTAGTAATGTTTCCTGAATTCTTATTATCTATAGTGGTCTGACTGCCAGTTGCTCATAATGTACCATCTAGCAAAAATTAAGAGAAATTTGGATGTTTTCCTACCTTCTTACAATGATGCTTTGGGGCCAGAGGCAGCAATTTCTCTGTGGAAGACCCACCCCACTTGATGTGGCCTGCAGCTCACAAACAACACAACCTGTTCCCTCTCAGGAACTGCTAAGAAATGCATTTAATTTACTTGAGTTTTGGTCTTGTGTCTCAACTATATCCAATGGACAATCTGAAGGCACTACTTATGCTGCAGCTTCCCTGCTGCAGTTCTGTCTGGCCTCTTTTAGAGATCATGCAGGATATGACTATTTGAAGGAGGCCTGGGTGGGTTGTGCATGGCAAAGTTTGGTCCTGCCTACAGCCACTTTGGCAAGCAGAGACACACCTGGATCCTGCACTGTGCTCTGGCTCTGTGAAGCAGGGCTACGGACTCCCGTGTCAGCAGCAATCCGAGACACCAACCCCAGTGACAATTGACAGGAAATTTCTTTCCTACTTTAATGAGTCCACACAGTGTTAAGCCATTTTTTGCAAAGCTGTCATAAAGGGCCCTGACTGATCCCTACTGCCTGTAACTGGTACTTTGGGGAGCCCATCAGCCCCATCACCCTCTTCAGATTGTGCTTTTCCAAACCTGCTGATGAGGGGCAGCAGGAGCAGGCACTGCAGTGATTCTTTGGCTCCACAGAAGTTGGTCACATCCCCAGCAGCTTTGGCAGACTTGGTGCAGTTGTTTTTAACTCCTAATCTCTACTTGTGGACTTTTCTGGGTAGTTGCTAGGATGAGAATTTTCTTTATCAATGGAATTTCATCGGTTGGGTTTGCTTGCTATCCACTAGCTTGTCAAATTCAGAGATACAGCCATCTAAATCTTACTGCATAAACTGCAGCAACATCACTCTCAGGAGGAAAGTGAGGGGGGAAATATCCCCTCAGAGGTATTCTGTTTCTGGAGAAACTGCATGTCCAATAAGAAACCAGCTTGCAACCTCAATCTTACACAAGACACACAGAGATACTCCTGGCAGACTTAACATTCACCTTGACAAAGTAATCAGCTTGTCAAGCAAAGGAAGCCATTGTGGCCAGAGTGGTCATGGAAGGTAACTAATACTCTCCACCTGCAGCATCAGTCAAATAAGGATTTTAAATACTACAAGAGAGAAGATTTGAAATGTTAGAGAAGAAAACATACATAGGAGTGAAAACAGCAGCATGTGATGGCCAAAAATGGAAAATAAAAGCTAGAAATGTTTCATATTGACCCAAATAAATAACAACCTCAAATGAAGTGGTTTAGGCTTGTCAGGTTTAGCCTGACCTCGGGCCAGTAATTTGCTTTCCCTGGAATAAAACAAAAGGCATCTGTTTATCTTGGCTACGAAAATGTCCTTGTCAGATGTCAGCTGAATTCTCTCTGGGCAGGTCACCTATCTCCTACCAGCTCCAGAGGAGACCCATAAACCACTGCCCCCCGAACATGATACATCTGTGCATCCTGAGCAGTCATCCCTTCTCTTCCCTGAGCTGCCCAAGTTGTCTCAGAAGGCTTCCTTCCCTCTGCCTGGAAAATCCTGCTAGAGAAAAATGTCATTGCTAGTAGTAGTGATAATGGTAGAAATCCCTGCAACCCTCATAGGGTTACATTAAAAGTGCCTTTCCTGCCAATACCAGGTACAAGAACTCCTTCTTGCTGACCCTGCTGCTCACCCACCCCAGAGCATGGCTCCTTCAGGCAACAGTCCTTCCTGGCACCAGGAGGGAAGTGCCAAGAACCAGCACCCAGAATGACCCAGTCACAAATAAAATCCAATGAAAACCTGCTGCTGCTTAGAAATAATCACCAGACAAAGAAAAGACCCAACTCAGAGAATTCTCTGCTTGGCATACCAATGATTAGGTGATGCACTGCAACCCAGAGGTAGGAGGGAGCTGCTAGAGCAGGGGAGTGGGCATTGCTGCCAAAGGCTGGCTTCAAACTAAAGCCAGTATTTCCACATTTCCACAAAGATGGAGGGAAGGGTGACAGTGTCTCAGACAGGCAATAGCTGGAGTGAGGTGGAGCTAAGCCCTGCACCAAGGCTTGAGTGAACCATACATGCAACCTCTGGCTGACAGCACTGGTGTCTCCAGGGAGGCCTGAGGACTCACATCGATCTGCACATTTAGGAGAGCAAGAAAAGTGGTGATTTATCAGATCAGTCATAGAAATGCAAAAATCTGTCTTGTTAATGTTGACAATTAACTCTTATATTTGCCGGGGGAAAAGGGTCCTGGTGCCTTTCCTCTGGGATGCTCAGGTATGTGGCAGTGGAAGCCTGTTGTTGCCTTCTGTAGGACCAGGACAAAGCTGTGCTGGCAGGCAGGAAAATGATGTGGCTCCTCTGGACCCAAGTGATTGCTGAGCAGAACACAAGGACACTGGAAATGCCCCCAGCTACACAAACGTGATATTCCATCGTGCTGCTGAGGCAGCAGAGCCTCCTCCTGCTGCTGCTCGGAGCGGGCTGTGTTCACTGGTTTGGGTTCTCAGAGTGCTGTGATGGTTGTGAGATTCAGTCTCTAATTAGGTCCCTGTAGTGGTGAGATTGCTTCCTTTATAATCACTCAGTGGGAACTGGTACTTTATCCTCTGTACTCAAATTTTTATGTCTTTCACTCTCATTTTCTCTCCAATGCCCAGAGTCTCCAGTCCACTGGATGACAGCTGCAAAAACCTCTGACATTCACTTTAAGGATGATTCTTTTCAGCTGGAAAAGAATTTCCTTTTGACAAGCTCTTCCAGTGATATTTACTGCAACTAATGAATTAACTCACAGCTGGACCACTTGCTAGCCTTTTCAGTCCAGAGCTGCTTTAAATCTTGATTAGTTGTTATGATTTGTAAATCTCACAGAACTGCTAAGTCCAAGCTTTCCTGTCTCACACTGTGATCAGGAGACTGTTCCCACTCATGCAGAGCAGCACTACACAGGCATTAGGCATTCAGGGGGACTCTATCTCTGCAGCAGGTAGCAAAACAGTGCATTATCCACAGGAAATAGTTCAGTTCACAAGGAAAGTTATTTGAATAACTCGTAGTGTGCCGGATTTGCATGGCCTGGTTTTTGGTAGCCGGGGGGCCACAGAGGTGGCTTCTGTGAGAAGCTGCTGGAAGTTTCCACCATGTCCAGCAGAGCCAATGGCTGATGGCTCTGAAGATGGACATGATGCTGGCCAAAGCTGGGCCAATTAGGAAGGTTGGTAACACCTCTGTGATAACAGATTTAAGAAGAAAATCAAAACTAAGTGAGGTGTGTGCACAGTGTTAATTCCAGCTAGAGAAGAGGAGGAGGTGAGAACATGTGAGGGAAACAGCATGGAGACACCATGGTTGGTGGAGAAGGAAGGGCAGGAGGTACTCGAGGCACCAGTGTTGAGGTTCCTCTGCAAGCTGTAAAGAGGCCATGGTGAGGCAGCTGTCCCTCTGTAGTCCATGGGGGATGCAGAGATCCACTCACAGCCTGTGGGGCAGCTGCCATGCTGGAGTGGGTGGATGCCTGGAGGAGGCTGTGGTCCAGTGGGAGACCCAGTGGAGAGAGCGAGCCCCTGCTTTCAGGCTGGAGCAGCCTGTCCTTGGAGGGCTGCACCTCGTGGAAGAGTGACCCACTCACAGCAGTTTTGGGAGGACTGTGTGCCCATGGGAGGGATTCACAGTGCAGCAGTTTTGGGAGAACTGCTGCTCGTGAGATTGGAAACACACTGGAGAAGTTCATGGAGAACTGTCTCCCTAGGGAAGGGACCTCATGGCATAGCAGGGAATGGACTCCTCTCCCTGAGCAGTGGAAGAAAATCTTGGGTGGTGAACTGATCAAACCCCAATGCCCTGTCTCCCTGCGCTGTCAGTGGAAAGCAGGGAGGGGGTTGAGGAAGAAAAGGTGTTTTAAGGGATTATTTTACTTCTCATTATCCTTCTCTGACTATGGTAGTAATAAATTCACTTTGCACTTCCAAGTTGTCTGTTTTCTCCTGGTCCTTATCTCAACCCTTCATTAAACTTTTCTCCCTTCTGTCCAGCTGTGGCAGGGGAGGATGAATGAACAGCTTTTGTGGGTGCCTGGTGTTTGGCACTGTCAAACCACAACAGTTTTGGTGGAGAATGCAGGCACTAACAAGGACTTTGAGATAAGGATATAAATTGGGAGAAATATTGGGCAAACCAATTATTAAACCATGTTATGAAGTAGAATGATAGTGGCGAATTTGCATTGTAGTGAAGGAATTGTAGTGAAGGGTCTAGGGGTGGATTTTGTGTAGTTTGTCCATTTTTGTTCTGTATTGTGATGATGGGGTTTTTTTGGATCTAGTGTGGACAACTTTTTTTTCCTTTTTTTGCTGCTAATTTAGTTGTTTTTGTTGTTGTAAGTAAAGATTGTATATTGAATGTGGATGATTTTTTTACTGCAGACTTCCACGGTTGTTGGCAATCCTTACAAGCTGTCTGATACTGTTAATATTATTAGCCCATACCACTGTTATTCTATGGAATTAATGGAATTTGTCATCACCCTAGTGCAAGAGAAACAACCTTTAGGTGAGGAGCTATTAAAATGTGCCCTGAGGCATCCAGTTCCTGGGTGGAAGGGTGCGTGGAGGGATTTGGGCAGGTTCCTAGGGTGGTTCTAAATCACCTAAATCATCTCCCATTGCCTGGGAATTTACTCCTGAACAGGCAAACACCCTACCAAACTGGCCCCTGGACTGATAGAAGGGAGCCATTACACATGATGAAGCCCTGCCTCCCAGAGGTGTCTGAACATTGCTTGCTGATGGGAAGTAGAGACTGACTTTTCCCTTTGCTTATGCACACGCAGGTTCTCCCTTTTTTCTTTCACTGTAATAAAATGGCCTTATCTCACCCACTGGTTGCTCTCCACCTTATTGTCTCCCCTGTCCCCTTGGCTTAGTGGGCGCCTGGTGCCCTGCCAGGGTCAACCTGCTACACAGAGTTGGAAAAGAAAAGGCCTTACTATTTTAAGCATGTGTGAAAAAATGCACAATGCAGCGTATACTACATTTCACAAGCATCTTGCACAAGTGATATTACACAAATGCACCTTTCTCCACATTATTTTGCAGATCCTCTTTTCTGTTTCTAGCTTCTGAGCACATCCTGAGCAATGAACAACAGCCCAACATTTCAGATTAGGATCCTTACTTGAGTTCCTAAATAAAATTAGTCTAATTTGTATAGATTCTGCCCTCTCAAGTCCCACTACACTCACAGAGTCAGCAAGTCAGGTAATTTGTATTTTGGCAACTAACTGTGCATTTAGGCATCTAAATTTTCAGTGATTTGAATTCCAACTCTAAAATTCTGGCCTGGAGGTAAGCATCTAACTGGAATTTGTAGCCCAGGGGCTGGGAATACAGCAGTCATGTAGTTGCCTGAGTTCAGGATGAAAAGTCAACATGCATGGAGACTTTTCACTTATCAGAAGGCTTACAGCAAAACAGGAAGTTATTAATATCAGAGCCTGAACTGACTTGAGAGTCAGACAATATCAAACAGAAGGTGTCTCCCCTTTTTCCTGTTTATCTCTTGCTAGCTCAGAAGACAGGGGAGATGAAGAGGCAAAGAGTTTCATAATTTGGTGCTACAAGGCAGTGAAATTGAGCAGGCAGGCTGTACATCATTACACAAAGTATATGGCATCACTTTCCTCAAGTCTTTAAAGCTTTTGCTGTACTTTTAAACAAACAGGGAAGCTATTTTGAAATGATGGGGTGGAACATGACAAAATAGTGCAGCGCTATGGCATGCAGGAGTTTAGACAAAGTGAGCAATAAATGAAACTACCAGGGAGGGTAATATGCTGCCTTGGTATAGTTATCTTAGGAAAACACTGGAACTAAAGAACTTTCTCTTGAGAAAGTGTCATTTGATTTTTAAATAACACAGGTCATTAGGACTACAGTTTCACATCGTGTCTGCATGATGGTTTATCAAAGCAAGATCAAGTTACTGGCAGGGTCCTGAGAGGAAGCTCCAGGGTAAAGGAAAAATAATGTACAGAGCAGCTTACCACCACACTGTGCAGAAATGAGCAAAACTTCCTGGACTCATGGCCCAGCCTCATCACATCAGCACAGCACACACCAGACTGCATTCAGCTCTCTGTTTTCACTGCTGCCCAACACAGTGTTTTCTTTCAAACAAGGACAATTTAAAAAACTGCCCTTTCTAAAAGGGAACTGGACAGTCCCTCCTTGAAAGACAAGATCGAGCAGGAAGCCCTGCACTGAGAACTAGCAAGGTCAAAAATGGAGTGCCAACCTGTTGGGATGTGGGATCATTGGCTATCTGAGCTCTCCTGTGTTTTGTCAGCCACTGTGGAGGTGACAGGGCCAGGGAGCTGCCTACCTGGCCTCCATGTTGGTGGAGAATTTATTAAAAGACTCATGCTAGGCACAGAAAAACTGGCACTGAGCAAGCAAAAGGCAAACCCCAAGAATATTTATTTGTTTTGACTTATGACTGGGCAGGGCATACTTCCTAGTGTAACTTGGATGTTCTTTAGAAGGCAAAACACTATAAGTAGGTGTCAGATCCCTGGGAAAGGTTTCATTTCTTTTGGAGAAACAGGAGATTTCATGTGAGGATTTGTTCACTGGGCATTTTCACTTTTTCAGTTATCTAGAGATTTGGGCCTCTTTCTTTTTTTTTTCCCCATCCTATCTTGCTGAGCCCCTCACAGCCACATGAAATAAATTCCTAGAAGGAGATCACTCCCACAGAGCCTTACACCTCTCAATCTACACTGAAAAAAACGTGTTTGTACATGCAGAATATTAAAAAAATAGAGATGCATCTACTTTTCTGTCCTTAATAAGTTTTCAGCTGCAAACACAAGGCAAGAGTCACACTTTCTTTCCCCTGAGGTTGCAGATATCAAACAAAAACATCACAAATTTCATTGCTGCTTAAAGGAGATCTGCTGTACATGACTTGCAGGAACCACTACTTCTGACAAGATGTGTTCACTACAGTACTGATGTACACAGTGTAATCCTCAGGGGAAGGCCCTGCAGTCAGCTGTCCCCCCCAGAATATTTTCTTTTCTCCCCTCAGGCCACTTTAGGGGTGCTGGGTAAGGAGGGGTACAGCAAGCAGCTTTCAGGCTCCCAGATAGGTCCTTTTGAGATCCCCTAAGCTCATGGATGAGGAGGAGGAAGGGAGGAAGAACTGTATCAGATGAAATGGAACTAGGCAAGACAAAAGAGTGGTTACTAGGAAATGAAAAAGAATTCTATAAATAAAGATATGAATAGTTTTCATCTTTAAGCAAGAAATGTGAGAGGTATGAAATGAAGCAGAATTAAGAAAAAGCATTCTCCAGAGGGAATTAGAGAGATTTACAGCACAATATCAGCTCCCTGTGCAGCTCAGGTCAAACACTGCTTTGCATTTAAAAGTCAGCTACACACAGTGCTCTGAAGGATCCCCTTTGCTGTCCATTGCCTACGGTAAAAAGGGAATACAGACCAAACCATTTGATGGCCTGATATGACTCTCTCTCATACTGTAGCTAAATTCCTCACAGGTATTAACCTCACACAACTCAGGGGTATGGAAACACATTCTTCCTTGGAAAATGGGGGGCAAAAGGCAGAAGGATGGGACCAGCATACACAAGGGAGTCACTGGCAAGGCAGATACCTGAATGTAGATCACCCAGGTTCCAAGCTAGCATCTGAACCTCCAGACACACCCTCTTCTCCTTCAAAATGTGAGAAAAGAAGAAATAAAACCAAAACCATACAACAGTGGTTTGAGTCATTTGAGAGTCCTGGCTGCAACCTCCCACACAGCAATCACCACAAAATCTTGGCTGCTTTCACCACTGCCATCTTACCTTTCCCTCTCAGCCTTTCTGTTGTGTTCTGACATAAACTGGGAGCTGCCTGAGGCAGAAGCTGTTTAAGCTTCCCCATTATTTTGCATGCAACATGAAGTATCATGGGGTGTCTCACAGGTTTTGACTCTAAATTGAGTTTTTGAGAGAGTCAAATTACTTAATGCCACTTGAGTCCGCCTCCTGAAGCTTTTCCACGCCTAAGAGCAGCTGGCAGAAGCAGTGGAAGTGAGCAAGAGCCATCTGTGCACATTGCTCAGGTTTTACTACTTCTGCTCACCCTGAGATTTTTGGTATCAGGGAAATTATTTAAGCTGCAGGAAATAGCTCTTGAGGGCAACAAGGATCTAGCTAGTGACTTAGGCTAGGCAAGATGTGCATACAGCAGCAGCTGCTTTGTAGGAATAAGGCCCTGCAAATTTTTTAATGCACACTACTGTCCGAAGCGCTGCTGTGAAGGATTTATGCAATAGAAATGTGACTGCGTTCCTGTTCCACTGCTAACTATTCCTATGTGTCTCCTCTCTCACTGCCCTTCAAAGCTTTCCTCTGAATACAGTGATGCATGCTGTTCCTGAGGAGTCTTGGGAGAGAATGTAGAGGGCATAGATTTGCTTCAAAGCAGATCTTCAAACATCTGTTTGTACTTACAGCACGAAAATTCAGCAGGCTACAGCACATAGCTGCCTGTAGCTTCAAGGCAAACGCAAATGCTACGAGGTATTAAAGACTCATAAACATAAACAAGATAGCCTGGAGCAGCTTATCAGTTAGGTGGTAATGGGTGGGGAAAGGCTCATTGTATATTTAAGGCCCAGGCATTTTCCCACTGATTTTTTGCCATGTTAGTAATGGGCCAGGGAGAGGAAAACTCTTATGTAATTTAGCCAGGAAATAGTGCTCAGGTCAGTCAGTCCTGACAGTCCTGACTCTCTCCTGCTGTGGTTCCTGCTTGCTGCTGCATGGGGGTGCAAGGGCAGTGTCTGGCCAGAACCCCCTGAGTCAGGAGGGGAAAGAGACAACTGCTCATGCCAGCTCCATTCCTGACAGCTAGGCCACCACTACAGCATGTTATCCCTCTAGCAGAACAGGACAGGAAAAGGGACTTCCCTGGCAGCAAAACCTTGCTGGCTGGCCATGCAGGAGCATCAGGGGAAGGCTCTGGCCCCAGATTATTGTTTGGGTGGAAAACAAATGAACAGATGAAGACACTGTCACCTGCTGTTCCTGGACATCACCCTGTGACCACAGGGTAGAGTGGCACTGAGACCCAGGAACACTTTCACTGCTACCTGAGAAACAGGTTACCATGATTAATCTGATAGAAGTTGGTGGTGTTTCAGTCCCTTCCACACCTTCTGGCTGAAAGAGAAGAAATTTTGGCTGGCTTGAAGTCTCTATATAATTTTGTATTAGCATCAGATGACTGCCAGTTCTGATGTAAAGGAAGGGACAGGAACATGAGGCAGGATCTGTTAGGACTTGAGGCACTGAAGCAGAGCTGTTCTAGGTGGGCATAAACCATTATGGACAACATCTCAGTATCTCTAGTTCACAGTCTTCTGTTTCGTCTAAGCCCACCTCCTTGGAGATTTCAACTCCAATGCCATTTGGAGCAGCTTTGCCCTGGACAAATGTTGTCTTCTGCCAGCTCCACTGCAGGGACTGTAATCTTTACCAGCAGAGCAGTAAGAGCAGCTGGGTGGGTCCTCTTCAGTCACCTCACCATCACTTGTTAGAGCTCATTTATCAAAGCCCTAAATCACAACACAAACACTAGAAATCAACCCAAAATGGATATGGCTAGACTACAAGACCTGAAAATTCTCTAAAAACGTGCAATCTAGTTCAATAAATAGTGCCTTCCCCGGGACAGATAACTTGGACTCTCCAAGCAAAACAGTGTCGACAAGAAAAGCATTTTACACCAATATTTTTGGCAGTATAGAAACATCCATGTATATTACACAGTACTTACTACAAGGACAGAAGATTCCAATGTAGATCCACATTCACTTTTGCATTTCTAGAGGTGAAGAGGGGTTTTCAGTCATGTTGAGCAAATGTGACTGAGCCAACAGGAATTAAAGCTGTGCTCTTTCCTGCCTGTTGAGACATGGTGAAAGAAAGCAGCTACCTTAAATCAAAGGGTCCAGATTCAGGGAGGTACTCCAGCTAGAAATCAGAAGCCAGTTTACAGATACTTTGATAACTTGGGCTTTTATTGTTCCACAGGCCCCCAAGATCAGTTGGTGAGGGCTGGGTAAATTTCCTCATATGGTGTTTGAAGGCAAAGACAATCTACATTTGCTTCCCACAGGCAAGCCCAGGCAGCTACAGCGTATTACAAAAAGAGGAGATTAAAAGCAAGTTTTGTAGCACTACTGTATGAAAAGATACAATCGGTTCTACCATTAGCAGCTTAGGAGTTAGGATTGGAAATCTGATGTAGGCACCTTTGAAGCACCAGTTTTGTCAAGAATATCCCCATGCTTTGTTCTGTCTTGAAAATGGAATTGTTTAGCTATTAAAAGAGATTAATGTAATCTCTGTGTCTATGAAATTGGATTTTAAATCTGTTTGCTTACTGTACTATCTCCATGCAGTGAATGAGACCTCTGCTGCTTTTCATGTTGCTGTAATTACAGGTCCCACCTTGTCCGAGCCCAGCGTGTGCTGGCATTGCCAGCAGGACAAAGTGCCTGGCAGACTGCAGGAGGAGGCACGTAGCTGGCAGGGAGAGGGAAGCCTGTGTTCCACAGAGGCCATGGGTGAGGTTCCGTGCTGCTCTGGACCCCTCAGTGTGAGCAGAGCCAGTCAGAGGGGTCTGAGACAGCTGGGGCACAGTGTACGCGCTAGGAGCAGAGGCTGAGCGAGCTGGGTGGGGCTAGTCCAGAGACAGGGGGATGGAGGGGTGATCCAACAGGACCCTACTGCCAATCACTTCTCCCTCAGGAGGAGATGGACAGACCCCAATCCATCCTGCAAGCAACAGGTGGACAAACAGGGGGCAACAAATCCAGCCTGGAGCTTGGGAGAAAAGAATGGACATTAACAGAAAACATGTCCCAGAGAGGGAGAGTGTGCATTCTCCATCATTGGAGGCTGTCATGACTTGGCTAGACAATGCCAAAGCTGACTTGATGTAATGTGATAGTCCTGTGCTAAGCAGGAGACTGGATGACCTTGGGCCTTCACAGGACTTTTCCAAACATTTTTGTGTTTCTATTATTTTCCTAGTGAAGGAAATGAACACTCTTCAGCTCCATGGATACATGTCTTTTTATGCCAACTAAGGAGCTGGTCCTGCAGTCTTCTTTCCAAGAAGCTAGCAGAAAAGGTTAAGAAATGCTAGTCCCTCTCTACTCCTCCTTCTCCCACAGGCAGCAGTGTGTTGTGTCCACCTCCAGTCTCCACTTTGCTGCAGAAACATGGCTTGTGGTCCTGTGAGCATGGTCTAGCCATGAGTGTTGACAGTCCAATTGCTTCACTCAGAACTAATGGTAGAAGAAGAGATATCCCAGGGTAGGAGGCAATTGTTGCTGGGAATTCTTCTTGTCATCAACTAACCCAGACCATGTCTCCTTGCAGCAGGTTCTGTTCACTTGAGGATCCTGGCACAGTTTATTGCTGCTTCCACTCATGCACACCACAGACACTTCAGCAGGCTCCTTTTCTGCTAACAGAGGGATCACGCAGCATCCTCTGGCTGTCTGAAACAATTTCTCTCTCTAGCCCAAGATCTGCAACTCCATGCAACTCCAATCTTTGCAATGTTTACTAGCCCTTTGCATTCTCTGAATGTCCTCTGCCAACTTCCCCCTCTCTTGGGAAAAAGGGATCTAGTTGCTGAGTTTTTATTTACTCATCATGGCAGACAAGCTTCTGATAAGCCATCTCTCTGCAGTGCTGCAGCCTTACCCTGCTGTCCTGCATGGATATGGGGTAAAAAAGTCCCCCACAGAGTTTTAAAATGGTCTTTTTTTCCTTTTTGCAGCAGATGAAAGTCTAACTTGCTTTCTCTTTCCCAGAAGTCATCTTGACTTCAGTGGCTTGAGAAGAGCTGTGGCAGTAGCAAGGTCCTTGTTAATGACTGATTGCTCCAGGGCAGAGGAGGATTTGGTGCTCTGATACAAGGAGAAGGGCAGAAGAGAAAAAAGTCAAATGAACGGGTGCCTGTAGTTGTTCTGCTTCTCCTGATGTATCTGCAGAGACTGCAGAAATGGCTGGGTGACCAATGGAAGCGCTTGTGTAACATGGGGAGCCCCACACTCCAAAACACCACAGGCACAGACAGTGTCATCACCAGCACCAAGCTGTCCAACAATGGTGGAAGGGACAAAGAACCAGCATGTGTCCTCTGCTCTCACAGAGAAAAATAATCTTTTGTATTCCTCTTTCTTTTGGACTTTGTAAACAGTTTGAGACTGTTTATATACAACTTGTTTTGTCCAGTTGGATACATCTGGGTTACTTGCTCCATCTGTTCTCTTCAGTTTTAGGCACCTCTGGACTAATTGCTCTTTCTTTGACCAAGCTTTTGCCCTCTGAATTCCATAATGCATCAACAGCACGCCCATACACTGCCCCAGTACCACCCTCAAAGCCTCCCAGGGCTCTGAGATGCCCTCAAGGCCAGATCCAATCCTCAAAGTGAAGACCTGGCACAAAAGTGCTGCCTCAGGGCTCCTCTCCACCCATGAGTGTTCTGGCAGCCGAGTGCCTGTGCTAGCCTTTTCACCCCAAACTGCATTCAGCCCATGATGACTTGGTCCCAGCAGCTCTGTTAGCTCTCCTCGTGGCAGACAGCAGCCCTACAACTTCTGCTCACTGTGTCAGGTATTGACAGGGCCAAACATTCTGGGGAGCTCTACAGCAGCAGTATTGTGGTGGCTATGATGAAGCTAATTAAAACAGATGGAATGGAGACAGAAGCAAAGGTGGCGTCAATGAAAGGTGGCACAGAGCAGCTACAGTTCCCTCAGAGCTGCACTAGCACCAAACACTGCGCCTCGCTGAAATGTGCTGCCATTAGAAAGTACACCTGCATGTACCACATTTTCAAGTTTCAGGGAGACTGGCACAAGGTCTGGGGGAGCTGCTACATGTATGGGGCTGTATGCACGCTCTGGAGCTGCAGGAGTACCTGGTAAGTGCCAGGAACTGACAACATTTTGTACATACACACGGATTTACATGGTGTTTTTGGTATCTGAACATTTGCTACTGCTTAAAAGACAACCCTGTTCTGATCTGCTGACCAAAAGGATCTTGAGTATTGATTTTAAAGGCACATGGATAGGCCAGAATGCAGCCATAGAATCATAGAATCATTTATGTTGGAAAAGAGTTATAACAGCATTGGGTCCAACTGTTAATCCAGCAGTTCCAAGTGCACCACTAAACCTCAGTGCCACAGCTACATGTCTTTTAAATACCTCCAGGAACAGGGACTCCATTACTCCCCTAGGCAGCCTGTTCCAATGCTTGAAAATCTCCTTGGTGAACAAATTTTTCCAAGTATTCAGGGCAAAGATCCTTTTCCCCCTCTGACACAGGTATGCCCTATCTGTGACCAGTGGCCTTGCTGTCATGTAAACTGACCCATGATCAAAATCCCCCAAATGTTGTGGGTGACACTGGGCTCAGAGACAGGTATTGATCTGTTGTCTCTTCCTATTTCTCTCCTTATCATCCCCTGCAATTGGTAGGATAAGGGAGAGCACTGCCTGTGGTCCAGATCCCTTAACCAATTGTCCCAAAGCTCTGAAGTGTCTCCTGATTGCCTTTGGACTTCCTTGTGCAACTTCATTGCTGCCTACCTGAAAACTAATAGAGGAGAACAACCCGAGGGCAAGAAACTTTCTCTTCACATCTTAAAACCCATGTCCCAGACAGGCAGCACACGTCCCTCAGAAGTGGTTCCAGCCAGCATATGGGGCCTTCTTCTCCCTTCAGAAGGGAGTCTTCCATGGCAATGACCTGTCTCTTTTTCTTCATGGACACAGTTTTGAGACAGGTTGACTTAACCTTGGTGACAGCTCCATGCAAGATGAGACTGTCCCCATTGCTCAGTTCTGCTAGCAGAGCCTTGTACCCATACCTGCTCCTGGCCCTACATGATCCTATCTATATCCATCTATTTTTTCTTGCAGTCAACCACTTTGGAGCATGTCTGTCCTGTTGCTTGCTGAGAGTCCAATGCAGCATGATCCTGGTTATGAGCATTTGCTCTCAGGGACTGTAACATTAATAAAATACCTGGTTATATTATTAATAAAAGTCATCCACATATCTACAGAATTATTAGTTAATGCTGCTTTCTCTTTGGCTAGAGTAGCATAGCTAAGTTATAAAGACAGATTTGTATTGGTAAGGCTTCCAGACCAAAGAGTCAGATCATATTTGCCATCAGCAATGTGTTGTTGAGAGTATAAACTGAAAACTCAGTAGTCACCAACCAACAGCATTGCCTGAGCACCACAAAACATGGAAAAGTTCTTGACTCTGGCCCAGTAGGGCTGCCACTTAGATATTTTTGAAATTTAATTAAGTAAATGTCATCATTCCTAACACAAACCATCTTGCAGTGAGCATGCTTTTGAGTGCTCAAAGCAAAGCAGAAAGGAGCACTGGAACCCTGAGGAGTTAGGAATTATTCCCATATTAGGTACTATTTCCACAATGAAATGCACTCCCAGTTATCCATTTTCATTATGCCAATTTATTGTATTTATGGACTAGGGATGTGTGTTTAGATTAAAACCTCACTTTTGTAGGTGCTACAAGTCATGAAACAGTCCCTGTTCCTGCAGACTCCAGTGTAGTGCCACGGTGACCTCGAAGCAGAAGATAAAGGACAGTGCCAGTGGGGAGAATGTGCAAATTGATGTGCCCAGCAAAAACTCACATTTTTCAGAGCAGGAAAAGTTTGCTTTTCAGGAGAAAACTGTACAATGTGAAAGTGCTCATGGTCTATGCAGACATCTCATTTTTATTTAAGAATGGGTGAAGTGCTTATGAAACGAGACAAATAAAAAGCCTGAAAAATTTCAGTTTTCTCCATCCAGAGAACAAATACATCAGGTTGTTCCACAGTGACCTGT